ACAATAGATTATACAGCTACCACAAGGACCTAGACTCCACCCCTTCACTCTTAATCCTCTCAAATTGACAATAGATTATACAGCTACCACAAGGAGCCTCAAAAGAAAGACCTGGAGATACGCTCAATCCTTGAAAGCCCAATGGAGTGCAGGCCTCTTCCAAACCACATGGGGTCGCCATGAGTCAATTGACTGAGCGGCAAGGGGACTGAGGCATATCTGCGCCTGTCTTTTCTGTCCTCTGCTTTTCCGGTGCGGTCATCTTCTGTGTCCCTGACACCCAGTTTGCCTCATGGTAAAACCTGACCTTAGGAAATTCTCTGACTGCCGCCACTGGAGAATTTCCACTATCTTGCCTCTGTAAAGAGTTGCAGTCTCAGGAAACCCAGAAGGACAGTTCTACGCTTCCTGTAGGGTTGCTATGAGTCGGCGTTGACTGGAGTTGTTTTGTTCTGTTTCCTTCCCCTGAGAGTCTTGTCTCGTTGTGAAATAAGAGGCTCTGCATGTAGCCAGGTGGCAGACACCAGGGCAACAGCCATGCTGGGGCCACACAGCAGCATATCTGAGAACATCACCAGCCACGAAGGCTCGACGGCTGCTGAGCTGAGTGATAACCCATCACACGCCCTCATCCAGGCCAGGCTCTGAGGAGGAAAAGGGACACACGGTGCATGGGACAGGAAGGGAGTCCACAAAGGACACCCCCACCCCCACCCCGTCTAGTCAGCAGCAGGGGGAAGCAGGGGTTGGCACTCGGGTGTGATGAGGGCACTGACAGAGCTCTGGACACAGAGGGCACTGCCCAGCCAGATGCTACCCTCCTACTGGCATCAGCCAGAGCCACTCTTTCATGCCTTGAGGATGGGGCTGCCAACCTTGGGGTGCTGGCGGGGGAGGGAGCACTGGGTGTGATTCTCACATTTGATAGACGGCATGAGTCAGAGAGGGCCAGGCCTCTCCTCCGGGGCTTCTAACCCAGTTATCTGGGACAGGGCCACGGACCTGTGCTTCCAACAGGCTCCTGTATGATGCTCATACTCAGAGACCACACCTGGAGGACCACTGTGCTCAAAGATCCTGATCGGCCAAGGGTGGGGAAGGAGGGGTTCAACGCCCCCGGCAGCTGTGAGGTGGCCAAGAACACCTTCCTTCATTAAAAAATAAAATTACGTGTACACTTGTACATGTCTGTGTACACATAAAATAATAGCCATTGAGTCAACTCCCACCCCTGGCAATCCGACGTATGTCAGAGGAGCCCTGTGTCCCATTAGCTCCAAAGTAGAAATGTTTTTGTTTTGTTTTTCAGGAAGTAGATCTCCAGGCCTTTCTTCCAAAGGACCTCTGGGTGGACAGAACCTCCCACTTTTCCCCTCAGTAGCATTGCCTGTCCGCACCACCCAGCACTCTTCCTTCCTGCTTGTGTTAGGCTGGGCTCTTTAGAGAAGACAGTGGTTATGTTGGCATTTTCTCCTGACTCACAGAGCCTCGGGGCTGGTGAACCAGGAATGACTGGCACACCAGATCACGCTAAGATCAGCAGGTCGGTCGGATGCAGGCCACCGATGGCTCCCGGAATCAGCAGGCAAGATGGCAGGTCATTGGCTCAAGTTGGGGGGTTGATGATCCAGGTGCAGGTTGCAAACATAGCAAAGAGCAAGCCACTTCCCCTACAGCATCCACTTACATAGGGATCAGGCCATACCCCTGGGAGAGCTCCGTTTAATGGCATAAAGGTTGTACCCTGAGCAATGGGCTTCTACACCACCCTAATCATCCCATAACCATCTGTGGGGCTGCTCCCGGCAGATCCCATCGTAGAATTGTTACGTTACATTCGGTCACATCAGGAGGGAGGACTGGGCCAAACCCTGAGAATCCTGGCCCAGTCAAGTGGACACACAACCCCATCGCCTGACTGCACAGAAGTGTATGTTCCTGATGCTCTTTGCCATGCGCATCTTTCTGTGTGCCTAAGAGTGACTCCACCCCTGTGCTTCTCTGCTGTGTAGAGCGACGTGGACGAGAGCCAGATCCAGGTGGCTGGCGACGACGTGGACTTGCCCGAAGACCTCCGGAAAATGGTAGATGAAGATCAAGAAGAGGAAGAAGATAAAGATTCTTTCCTCGGGCACTTGCAGAATCTGCAGAACGTGGACTTGGACGCCATCCGAGAGAAAGCACAGGCCACCATAACAGAGATCAAGCAGACGGCAGAGCAGAAGTGTTCTGTGATGTGAGGGCGCAGGGACGGAGGCAGCGGCACTCTTGCTGTGGCACTGAACACAGCATGTGTTTTCATGTAGCGGTAGGCCTGTGAAGCCCTCTAGGAACTGTGGACAAGAGTTCAAGGTGGCAGAAGGAGGGAGCTCAAGGACGGATGCAGAAGGCACTTACAGACCATAGGACCCAAAGCCAGTGCCCTTTCCCTCTTGCCTTCCTTCCTTGGGGCAGGGATCCCTCTGTTCGCCCATTTGAAGGGTGGCAGGCCCTACAGGGAAAGATAGGAGTGGGCGTGGGGGTGAGGGGTCACCATGATGTGTGGACACAGAGGGCAGGCTGCAGGCTGGAGGACCATTAAAGGACACCACCCCACTTCTTCCCCGGGCTCCTTTCCTTGATGCTGTGGGTGTTTCTCATCTAGTCTGGCACCTGGGTGCTGCTCAGCTCAGGGGCAGTCACAGGGAGGGGGTAGGAGATGAGAAGTGGAGACAGGCGTCAGCAGCCCTCTGCATCGGAAGATCACGCTAGGGACCGCATGAAGAGTGAACGTGCGGGTGGGGAACTGGTGGTGCTTGCTCTCTGTCAGCGCCGGGTGATCTCCTCTCCTCTGCACTGGGTGGCAGACAGTAATGGGGGTGGCAAATCAAGTGGTGGAATCCACCCACCTGCCCCCTCTCTCTCCTCCCCACCCCTTCTTTTTGCCCTTCCCCCTACCCTTTTCTCCACTCCCCCCTTCCTGGGAAGGAAGGGCACACTAGACAGACTCTCCGGAAAAGTCTTCAAACGACCTTCCAGGAATCCTTTTGTCAATGGGTGGTGAGAACAGTGACACTCAGCTACTGACCCAAAGGTGAGCGGTTTGAAACCACCTGTAGTGCTGCAGCAGCCAGGCCTGGCAATCTGCTTCCTTAGGATCCCGGTCCCTGCAAACCCTGCCGGTCACAGTTCTACTCCGAAGCATGTGGGGTGCCACAAGTCAGCATCGACTCAACGGCCGATTGTTGGGGTACCCGGCAGCGGTCCCTCCCCTTTTCTGTTTCTGCTCCCTTTCAAAGGGATGTTCTTCCGAAGGCTTAGAACATTCTCCTTGACAATGTTTTCCAGCACATCTGTTCACACAGTAGGTCATGCTCCGAGACAACTTTTGCAGTAATTGTGGAGGTGGAGAGGGAGATGGACTTCTCTTTGGCGTAGCAGGCATGGGGAGAAAGCCTGGAACACATGTGTGACATGCAGTGCGGAGCTCCCTGCGCACCTGCAGCTCAGACACCCCTCCTCCCTAACAGTGCAGATCACGGAACACTGGTCCCATGTTCTTGTGTTTGCTGGGCACTGCAAACGGACTTTTTACCAGAGAAGTTGGTGTGCCGAACGCTGTATCCCTCCCCTCCCTCCCAAATAAAACACCGTCTGTATACAAAGGGAACATCAGGCTTCTTTGCGCAATAAAGAACAGAATAAAACATGGCATTGAACAAACTGGAAATAAAATGAGGGGAGACGGGTCGTAAATAAGTGAAGGACTAATAGGTAAGGTGATTTTGTGCAGAAAATGAAAATGGCAAGAAAGATCACGTGACCATTGGGGGAGGGTGCATTTCAGGCAGTGGGGATGGTATGTGCAACGGCCCTGGGGCAGGAAGTAACTCGGAAGGCCTGTAGATGGGACCAAAGACCAGGATGCATGCACGTGGTTGAAGAACATTTGCTGGAGGCCTTTGAGGTGCTCAGGATGGAGAAATTATAGGAGGTATGAGAAGTTTTCTGAAGTAGCCAAACAGGCTTCTTGGTGGCTTGAAGGTGGGGGCGTGGGGAGGATTGGATTACACTATGATGTTCCTAGGGATGCTGGAAGGTGAAGTGAGGCAGCACCTGTACTGTTAGCACTCATGCCTGGCATGTACTGAGCGGCCAGTCGTGTTTTTAGACTGACCTGGATGTGGGCAGTGAGGACCAGGAGGGTCTGACTTGTCCGTAGGACACAGGCAAAGCAGCCACAAGCACTGTGACTGTCCTTTAGGGTGGCAGGGGCTTGTCACCATCGTCTTTCTTTGACCCTGACTCATTTACCCACGGTTTACACAACACCACATACACATGCTGTCGCAAGGGCAGAAAAGCTTCTGTCATTTAAATAAAGACATCTTAGAGAATCGATAAGGCGTCCTGGTGGCTTAGCGGGTTACTCACTGGTCTTCTAACTAGGAGGTCGGCGGGTCAAACCAACCAGGTCCTCCATGGGAGAAAGATGAGGGTTTGTGCGCATGCAAAGTTTCACAGCCTTGGAGACCCCCGAGGCAGGTCTGCCCTGTCTCATGGAGCCACGGTGAGTCGGAATCGGCTCGATGGCAGGGAGTTTGAGTTTCTGAGTTGGAGAATAAATGACAGGAGTCTGCCAAGCCCTAAAAAAAAACCCCAAAAAACAAAACCAGGCAAGCTCTACACTGAGTTTGAGAATGACGACAATTGGATGAGAGACTATTGGATGTTCTTGTTTAAAGGGTAAAGTAATAGAGTGAGAGACACAGAGTGCCTGTGCCAGGATCATCCTCTGGTCAGATCTCTGAGCTCAAAACAGCTCGTGCAACCTGCTTGGCTTCACCAAAAGCTCATTCTCAATGCAAACCACCCTGTATTTCTGTTAGCAGGCGTTTGAAGACAAGCCTCGCGCAGAGGTGTGTAGGGAAGTAGGGCATGGTCACAGGTACATCAGGGCACGCTACCACAGAGGTAGGAGATGGCAGAGGAGGGAAGAAAAGGGGAAAGGGGCAGCCTCCAGAACATGCTGTGTGCCGGACCCTGTTTTAGGGACCCCCCAAGAACCTGGAGGTGGGGACATCTGCGGAAAGCTTGTCCTCGGATGCACCTGCACAGCACTTCCCCAAATGCACACACACACATCACACACACACCACACAATGCCTGCTTCCTGGAATAATACCTTCACTTAGCACATACTCGTTCTAGGTGGAAGGTGTAGGAGAAAGCTGCTAAGGTGTGTGGAAGAAAGAACGCGGAGTGAGACACCACGGAGTGGAAACAAGGGTGCAGTTGGCACAGGAGCCGAGTGTGGAGGGGTCACGTGGGAGTGGGCTAACACCGATGCTGATGCATTTCCAAAGCCACACGTTCCCCTCACAGAGACGCACGCCATGCAAAGGCCCTGGGGCACGTTCCAGGAGCAGCAAGAGGGGAACTGTGGCTAGAATGGACCAAGCAAGAGCGAGGGCAACATGAGTTGAGTGGTCAGCAGGTGATGCAGCACCGTGTAGGACTCTGTGAAAATGGGGTGGAGGTCATGTTGGGCATCCTCTGACTCTACCTTTGCCGCTGGCCGATTTCTCTGGGACAGAGGTCAGACCTGCCTCAACTCCCCACACTCCGTTACCCTCTTCTGACATCGAGCCACCTGCCCAGGCTCTGGTCTCTGCTGGGTTTGGCAACCATCGCCATGGCCACACCGAACGCACACGTTTACTAGGGAAGTTAACTAGGCAGAATACAAAGTGTGAAGGAGGCCATCTTTTTAGCTGCAGTGTCTCTTCTCAGCCACGCTGGCAGGCTCATCGCTCTCCGGCCCTTGGCCTCTCAGGCCTGTGGACCCTGTGCTGCTGTCTGTAACGCTGCTGTAACAATTGGGCAGGTGTTACAATGCACCGTGAGGGCTGATACATGCTCAAGCCTGCTGCCCCTTCTGCCACCAGCACCATGTGTCTGAGATGGCTTACTTTATATGGAGTGAGCCATAGATAAGGGAAATGACAAAACTGACCAATCCCCACGTTACAGTCCTGTACACCTGACTTGCACGCCCCCCTCCCCCGCCCTCTCCCTAGGCATTTGATGGACATTACAGAGACCGTGAGCAGACAAGCCAGCTAGTGATGTCACACCACCACAGGCTCTCTGAGGACTTTGGGGAAATGGAGAGCCATTGCAGGAGGTTGAGCAAGGGTTCATTTGTGACGATGTCCATGATCGGACTTTTGTTTCAAAAGGGTAGCATCACCTGCTCTCTTGAGGAGAGACCAACGAGGAACGAACGTCAAAGTCGGAAGACTAAGTTGCACACGTGGAGTCCCTGGGAATCAGCACTGACTAGACCAACAGCTGCCACCGCTGTTTGGCCAGATGAGTGGCAGTGGGAGATGGTCAAAGTCAGCAGATTTGGTTCATATGGTGAAGCCAGAACCCCTTGCCATCGAGTCCGTTCTAACTCAGCGATAGAATAGACCTGTCTGACGAGGCTTCTAAGGTTATACTTCTCACAAATGCAGACTGTCCGGCCCCTCTCCCATGAAGTGGCTCATGGGATTGAGCCACCCACCTCTCAGTTAGCCCAGAGAAGCATATGGGTTCTGGCCTGAGAACTAAGAAAGAAAAATCACTATTTACTGATATGGGGCATTGGACTGCTGACTGAAAGGTTGATGGTCAAACCCATGGGATACAGATAGGCTGCCTGGTCCCATGGAGACTTAGAAGCCTTAGAAACCCTATCGAGGGCCTCTGTGGCTTGGAATCAACTTGATGACTGTGGGTTTCATTTGGCTTGGCAGTGGAACAGGTTCAGAAGGGAAGTTCTGTTTAGTAATTATGTTTGCACAGTGTTAAGTTGGATGTACCCAGCACACATCCAAGTGGAGGTGTCTGACAGGTGATCAATCCCATGAGTCTGGAGTTTAGAAGAGAGATGTGGAATGGAATCAGGGAGATCAACAAATGAGCGATTAAAGATAGGGAGCAGACTTCGCCTCTGTTTTCTGAGGTCAAGGGCAAAAGGAGGAATCAGCAGGGCTTATTGTAGAGCGACAGCCAGTGAAGTAGGAAGAAAGCCAGGAGGTAGAAGCCAAAATGAACTAGGCCTTGCAACGTGCACAGAGCCAACGCCATTCAACTCTTGATTGCTCCCCTGCTTGCTGTCCTTTCCAGAGGAAGAGGGAAGAGGGATCCTGGAGATGCCCAAGTCCAGGGTGGGGGTGGGCCAAGTTTGCTACAGTTGGCATCCTTGGATTTG